CCTGGGTGGGATGGGGAGCTTCCGGGAGTTTTGGAGCAGAGGACTGAGTGCTCTGCCATCTGTTTGCCAGGATAGGGGCTGGAAGTCTTGTGGGGGCCATGTCATCTAGGCAAGTGATGGTGGGGTTCACCTGAGCAGGACAGTGGAGGTGAGGAGAAATGGGCACATTCTGGAAACTTCTTTACAGATAGAGGCAGCAAGACTACTTCAGACCCAGCAGGGGGCTGCCGTGGCACTGTAATCCCACAGCTTTTGTCCAGCTCTTTGGTTTCCATACAAAAATAGAATTATCATCTTCGGATTGTGTGGTGTGACCAGGAGATGGCAAACTACCACCCCCAGGCCAAATCCAACCAGTAGCCTGTTTGTGTAAATAAAGTTTTATTGGCACATAGCTGCTCTCATTCACTGATGCACTGTGGCCGCTTTCACTCTCCAATGGCAGCGTTGAGTTGTGACCTTCCCGTACAGGCATACCTCATTTCAGTGTGCTTCGCTTATGGCCCTCTGCAGATATTGTGTTTTTTATAGATTGAAGGTTTGTGGCATCAAGAAATCTGTCACCACTGTTTTCCAGTATTTGCTCATTTTCTATCTGGCTGTCACATTTCAGTAATTCTCACAATATTTCAAACGTTTTCATTATTATTATATTTGTTATGGTGATCTGTCATCAGTGATTACTGAAAGCTCAGATATGGTTAGCATTTTTTAGCATGAAGTATTTTTAAACTTAGGTATGTACATTGTTTTTTAGACCTAGTGCTGTTGCATACTTGATCGGCTACAGTAGAGTGTAAACATAGCTTTTATATCCACTGGGAAACCAAAAAATTCATTTGCAGGTTGGCACTGAACGCACAATATCTCCTTGGTGTGCCTGTATCTTTCTGTTCAAAGACCTCAGGTGGCTTCTGTTCTCCCACCTTGATCCCTGACTGATACACTATGTTATGATACATAATACATTTTGATACATCCATAAAACCAGACTTGATTTCAGCCACCCTAACTGCTGACCGTCACCCCTAGCCCATAGTCAAAAGCCTACCGATAAAATTTGATTTCCCAAAGACTTAACTGCAGGTAGCTTCCTCGTGACCAGAAACCTTACCGAGAGCATGCACGGTCAATTAACGCATATTTTGTGTGTTATATGTTATATTGTATGTTGAATGTATTCTTTTTTAAAGAAGATTTTATTTATTTATTTATTTATTTATTTATTTATTTATTTATTTATTTTAGAGAAAGAGAGAATGTGAGCAGGGTGGTGGTGCAGAGGGAGAGGGAGAGAGAGACTCTCAAGCAGACCCCGCTCTGAGCACAGAGCCTAACGTGGGACTCGATCTCACGACCCTGAGATCATGACCTGAGTGGAAACCAAGAGTCGGACACTTAACCGAGTGAACCACCCAGGTGCCCCTATAATCTGTATTCTTACAGTAACGTCAGCTACAAAAAAAGAAAATCATAAGGAGGGGAAAATACATTTATAGTCCTGTAGCATATAGAAAGAACTCTCCATATGAGTGGACCTACCCATTTGAAATACACATTGTTCAAGGTCATCCGTACAGATTGTTCTGCAGGTCGTTCTTTCCTTTAACGCTCTGTCCCGTATCTTTCTGTGTCAGCATATCTGACCCCCCTTTGCTCTTTTTATCAGCTACCTGCTATCTCATCCTGCGGACCAACCTTGCTGACTTAGTCCTTCTCCCCTCCTGATGCACATTTAAGGTCCCTCCAAGATTTCTCGGTTGACCCCATCCCGTTACAGCGTGGTATGTGGGCGTTCATTAAATGCACTTGGTCTTTTTTCCTCTTTTTGACTGATTAAAAATGACTCATGTGTGTTCCTGCTGAAAAGGGCCCTGGGGCTCATCCGCTCCCTGCCCCACCCCCACCCCTCGCTCTGCTCCCTCCACGACTGGCCTGGGACCCGTTCCCAAACAACTCACTCAGCAGATGTTTGATGATTTCAGAAAGCAAGAGGGTCGCAGGTCACGTCCATCAGCTCCGTGCGGAGCCCCCCAGGACTGCACCCGCCCTGTGGCCTGGTGAAGCCGAAGTGGGAGCCTTGCCAACGACGTGACCACACGGGTTTCTATCTTTATGGTCTCTTCGATCACTTCCGTAGCGGGTTAGCTCAACTTACAAACCTAACAAATATTTTCCTGTCGGCACCACACTTTTCCCCGGGAGAGCTGAAAGCTTCTGGCCTCTGGGTCAGGGGGTTGCCTTGGCCCCAGGCCAGCGATTCATGGGCTCACACGGCAGCATCGGATCTGCACCAGCCTCCCTGAGCCGCTGGGAGAGGCCCAGGGACACCAGGCTGTTGGGATCCGAGTCCTAGTCTGTCCTGTCCGCAGATAGGGCGTCAGGGATGAACGCGGGGGCGGGGGGGCCGTGGTGGACACATGTGGAGTTCCAAGGGGGACCCGATCAGTGGCTGAGCCAAAGTGCTTTGCAGTTATTCTGCAATTACATTTCTTATAGAGCTTGGAAGACATTTTAGACAAAAAGGCGTGTGAAATGACACAGTATCCCTCGTATAGAGAGACAAACCTTTCTACGCTCTTTTTTTTTTTTTTAACGGACACAGGGAATTCTTTTTTTTTTTTAAGATTTTATTTATTTATTTGACAGAGACAGAGACAGCGAGAGAGGGAACACAAGCAGGGGGAGTGGGAGAGGGAGAAGCAGGCTTCCCGCCGAGCAGGGAGCCCGATGCGGGGCTCGATCCCAGAACCCTGGGATCATGACCTGAGCCGAAGGCAGACGCTTAACGACTGAGCCACCCAGGCGCCCCATCTACGCTCTCCTTTTTAAACGCCCGTGACCTACTGGCTGGAGGGAAGACACATGGGGAAGAAGTTACGTGGGGTGCAGCCCAGTCTCCTTCTGATCTCTTTCCTTTAATTCTTCTTCACCCCCGTGAATGTCTTGGCATCTCATGTCTCCCTGTGTCTCCTTTGATAACGAGGCATGCTGATGAGATGTGAGCGCTGGAGCCTGAAGAACCTATTTCCAAAGAAGGTCACATTTGCCTGCGGACTTGGGCATAATATTTTTGGAGGGACACACTTCAACTCACTACAGAAGCCAAGATCGTTCTTCACCAGTGTTAACAGCACTCAACTTTTGACTGACAAAACTTTCATAATGGCAAATTAAACAACTGAGATATTATAAAACAGATGGATTTGTGGATTAATAATGGTAAATAATTTTTTTCTTAGAGATTTGATTCTTAGTGGAAGTATCATAAATTTAAATTGGGAACTCAGGGGGCGCCTGGCTGGCTCTGGCTGAGGAGCATGCGACTCTTGATCTCGGGGTTGTGAGTTCAAGCTCCACATCGGGTGTAGACAGTACTAAAATGAATAAATAAACTTTATAAAAAAATAAATAGATTGGGAACCCAGTTATACTCTCCTAGTATAGTAAACAGTTGGTGGATGACTTAAATTGCTTATGAGATGCAAAATGTAGCCAGAGCACTAATACCAATAGAGGTTTAACATTTTTTTAAAGATTTTATTTATTTGAGAGAGGGCACAGAGGAGAATGAAAGGTAGAAGCAGACTCCCTGCTGAGAAGGGAGCCCTATATGGGGCTTGATCCCATGACCCTGAGATCATGACCTGAGCTGAACACAGATGCTTAACCGACCAAGCCAACCAGGTGCCCCCAATTTTTTTTGAGATCCTCACAGATTAGTGCATCAAAAAGCAGCTTCTTTTTCTCTTTTTTTTTTAAATTTCTTTCTCTATTTCTTCCCTTCTTCCCTCCTTCCTTCCCTCCCTCCCTCCCCCTTCCCTCCTTCCCCCTTCCTTCCTTCCTCTCCTTCTTTGTTGAGAACATTTAAGTTGGGGCCAAATGCTTTGCCTGGTGCACAGGCCCACGGCTGCCGTGTTGGGGAACCCCCGCAGGTGCAGGGTGGCTGACAGCCTCCCATCCCCCCACCAGGATAGAACAGGCCATGCAAAGGCTGCTGGGAGCAGTGTTCCAGGCTGAGAGAGCAGGGCCAGGGGCAGAAGGGCAGGGTGGAGTGTGGCTGGAGGGTGTGGGCGAGGGGGGGGGTGTGGTGAGATCCTGGCTCTGTCCCTGGGCAGCCAGCGTCTCTGGGATGCAGCCTCCTTGGCCGAGGACTGGGGACGACAGCCCTCCTTGCTGAAGATGGTTAGGAGACAAAGAAAATGCCCCCATTCGTTCCTGGTGCCTGGTGCTCACGCGGTGAAGGCCAGCCGCTATTGTCACTGGTGGTTTTATTGTCGCTGCTGTCAGTCTGTTTCACGTCAGGGACTCGAGGGCCCCTTCCTGTCCTCAGCAGAACCACGGGTGGCTCTCTCCACCACTTTGGAAGGTTGTGAAGAGGGCCTCAGGAATGAGCCTTGAAGCATCGTGCTGAGTGAGGGAAGCTAGTCCCAAAAGGCCACACAGTGTGCGATCCTATTGACATCACACGTCTGAAACAGAACAATCCATAGAGAGAGCAGATGGGTGACTGCAGGGGCCAGGGGAAGGGGGAGGGGGGTTGCCTGCTCATGGGGACAGGGTCTCCTTTTGGAGTGATGGAAATGTTCTAGAATTAGGTTATGATGATGGTGGCACAGCTCTGTAAATACACTAAAGACTGTTGAATTGTACATTTTAAATGGATGAAATTTATGGGAAGTAAATGATATCTTGATAAACTATTAAAAAAAAAAAAAACAGGAAAGGAAAGAGTGCCATGGGAGAGGTAGAGGGTGGTGAGGCCTGGAGTCGGCCCCCTAGAGCTGAAGCCCGGTGGAGACAAGGCAGGTGATGAGAGGCTGGGGAGGTAGGAACCACAGCCCCGGCTCACATGGCAGCAGGAGCTGAGTGCCCAGGGTGGGGTGGGACAGAAGCCTGGGGAGCCAGGACGGCCAGGAAGCCTTGGAAGGTTTGCATGGAAACATCTCCTCCTGTAACACCTCTACCCCCTCCTGGGAGGTGGTTCCTCCCACTCCCAGGTTATCTGGCCCCTGCGTCACACCTGGGAGGCCTCTTCCCCCCATTACGGGACGAGGTGCCCTTTACGGACACTGAATACGTCCTGGGCTTAGAGCTGGCCTTGCAACCCCAGTTCTTCTAGTCCCCACTGGTCCCCTGTGAGGTGAGTTCTGCTGTCAGAGGTTCTGGAACTCACCTGTTTAGACTGATCTTCCTAGGCGGTCTGGGGATCCCCTGAGGGCTGGGCCAGTCTGGTCCATCTCTGAGCACCTGGTTTGCTGGCCAAGTGGGTGGTGTCCATAGACACTTGATGAGAGCAGAAGGGGAAGAAGCAGTGACCTCACCTGAGGGCTGTCTGCACCTGCCCACCTGACCCAGGGGGCCTTGTCCCTTGCCCACCCCAACTGGGTCAGACACACCATTGGCCAAGGTGGCTGTCTTGGGCTCTGTCCCCTGCAGACCCAGTCTCCTGCAGGGCTGGGTGAATCCACCCGCAGGGAGCAGAGGGTGCCCAGCTACGGCAGCCTGGTGCCTCTTCAGTTGCCTCCTTGTCCCGGGTGTGTCCAGAACATTCCTGGCACTGAGCTGGCACCTTCCCCAGGACAGAAGTGGCCGGCGGAGCCGAGATGGGCCAGGGCGTTTACTGTGGTGCTTTTATTTCCAGCCTGTTTGCCCAGAAGGCAGAACCAGCCAGGGCTCCCATTTGGGGGTGAATTGTCTGGCCCTCAGTTTTCTCATGCACCAAACCTCAGAGCTGGGCTGAGTGCCGCCTGAGGCTGGTCCCTGCTCTCGTCTTGCTGGAGCCTCCAAGAATGAATGTTGGGCCCTCATGGCAGCCTAAGGGACAGATTAAGGTGCCTGGAGGTGTCTGACTCCCAGCCATGCTCTGGTCTTGGTAAGAAGGGCTGTTGAGGGGGATGCCTGGGTGGCTCAGTCAGTTAAGCGTCTGCCTTCGGCTCAGGTCCTGATTCCGGGGTCCTGGGATCAAGTCCAGCATGGGGCTCCCTGCTCAGCAGGGAGTCTCCCTTTCTCTCTGTCCCTCCCCCTGCTTGTGCTCTCTCTCTCGAGTAAATAAATAAAATCTTTTAAAAAATTATGTTTCTGTTTTTATAAACAGATTTATTGAGGCACAGGTGGCCTACAATAAACTGCACATATCTGTATCAAGTGTCAGATTAGCTAAGTTTTGACCTATGTACTTGCTTGTGAAACCATCACCAGAGTCGAGACAGTGAACGCAACCAACACCCCCCAAAAATTCCCTGGGTCCGAAAAGAAAACTTCTGTTTCCTGCACTGTACTCACAGCACTTCTGACACGAAACGTGGGTTTTCCACACCGAGCAATCCCGACATCACCCGGAGTTAGCACTGACCCCACAGGTGAGGGCCTTCGTCCCACGAGGCTGCCTCCACGTCTGACACCAGCCACAATGCTGGATCTCCAGGACTCCTGACAGACTGGCTACAAATCAGGGGGTTCCTTTGACCCCCTCTTTGGATTCCATAATTTGCTAGAAATGCTCACAGAACTCTGGAAAGTGCTTTACTTCCTATTATAGTGTGTTATCAAGGATAATACCAGAGGAAGAGATGCATGGGGCATGTATGTGGGAAGGGGCGTGGAGGTTCCATGCCCCCTCTGGGCAACCCCCCGCTCCGGGTACCTCCTCGTGTTCACCAAGCCAGAAGCTCTTCAAGCCCTGTACTTTGTGTTTTTACAGAGGCTTCAAGCCATAGTCAAGATTGATGAAGTCATTGGCCATCGGTGACTGAGTATCAATCTCCAGCCCCTCTTCTGACTCTTTGGAATCGAATCACATGGTTGGTTCCCTAACAAGCAGCCCCCATTCTTAGGTGTGTTCCCAAAGTCACCCCATTAACAGAAAGTCAGGTGTGGTTGGAAGGGGTCTTCTATGAATAACAAAAGATGCACCTATCACTCATCACTTAGGAAGTGACAAGGGTGTTAGGAGCTCTGAGCCAGGAACCCAGAACAAAGACCAAGTATGGTTTCTTGTTATTTCACAATAACAAGAACAATAGCAGGACCCCTTCTGATCCCTCCTGTCTGCTCCTCCCTCTCTTTCTCAAGCAGCCACTGATCCGCTTTGGGCCACTCTAGATTAGTTTGCATTTTCTATAAGTGGAACTCCACAGTGTGTACTCGTTTTTATTTGTCTTCTTTCACCTCGCGTCGTTTTGAGATCCATCCGCGTTTCTACCCCCTCAATATTTCTTTCTTTTTCATTGCTTCATGGTGGTGTTCCATTGGAGGAAACTGATTCCTTTCTATCAGGTGCATTCTGTATGTCAGACACGGTCCCAGTGAGTTTAATCTCCAAATTCCGTTTTATTTTTTTATTATTATTTTTTAAAGATTTTATTTCTTTATTTGACAGAGAGAGAGAGACAGAGAGAGAGAGAACAAGCAGGGGGAGTGGCAGGCTGAGGGAGAAGGAGAAGCAGCCCCCACCCCCCAGGAGCAGGGAGCCCGATACGGGGCTCGATCCCAGGACCCTGGGATCATGACCTGAGCCGAAGGCAGTTGCTTAACCAACTGAGCCACCCAGGTGCTCCTCCAAATTCAGTTTTAATCCCCAAATTGGTCTGCAAGGAAGTGTTGTGATCTCCACCTTGTAGCTGGGGCAATTAAAAAGCTCAGAGATGTCAAGCAACCTCTCACATGTCACACAGCTGGTAAATGTTAGAGTCAGAATTTGAACATGCACCTGGCTCCAAAATTCACTTGCTCCACTGGACCACTCTGTCCTGTGCAGTGGTCCTTCTGAGATCCTGGGGCCACTGTGGGAGTCCTGGGCTCCTCAGCAGCAAGATGCATTTTCCTTTCTTCTCTTTTTTTCTTTTATTGAGGTGATATTGACATACCATAAAGTTAACCATTTTATTTTTTTGTTGTTATTTTTTTAAGATTTTATTTATTTATTCAACAGAGACACAGCGAGAGAGGGAACACAAGCAGGGGGAGTGGGAGAGGGAGAAACAGGCTTCCTGCCAAGCAGGGAGCCTGATGAGGGGCTTGATCCCAGGACTCTGGGATCATGACCCGAGCTAAAGGCAGACGCCTAACATCTGAGCCACCCAGGCGCCCCAAGTTAACCATTTTAAAGGGAACAATTCAGTGGCATTTAGTATATTCAAGATGTTGGGCAACTACTACTATTTTTACCACCCCTAAAAGAAACCCCATACCTGAGATGCCTGGGTGTCTCAGTCAGTTAAGTATTTGCCTTCGGCTCAGGTCATGATCCTGGCGTCCCAGGCTCGAGTCCCCACATTGGGCTCCCTTCTCAGCGAGGAGCCTGATTCCCCCTCTCCCTCTGCCTGCCGCTCCCTCTGCTCGTTCTCTCTGTCCCTCTCTCCCTCTGGCAAATAAATAAGTACAATTAAAAAAAAGAAAGAAACCCCATACCCATTAGCAGTCATTCCTCCTTCCTCCTTGAATCCTGAAAGTAACCAGCAATTAGGTTTCCAGTGTGGACAGCCCCCACCGCAATGCAAAGGCCAAGGGGTGGTGCGCCTGCCTACCCCTCCCTGATGGGGCACCCTATGTTGGGGGGCAGTGGAAGAAGGTGCTCGGGCTCTGTGTGTCAGGTCTCAAAACCCCTGCCCCACTCATGACTGGAGCTAGATAGGAAATCCCAGGTGTTGCCCTAAGATTTCCACTACCCAGTGATCCCCCATGTCTGCCCGGCCACGGTGGCCGGGAGCCGACTCTGCTGCTCAGCACAGACCAGCACTGTCCCCCACGGCCCGTCCAGGTTCATATGATGCTGAACATCTCAGCGAGATGTTCCCCAACGAGACAAGCAGAGCCTGTGACTCCTGGAACAACATCACCGAGAAAAACTTTGGCATTCTGGGGGCGGTGGGGGCCGGGAGGGGGCGGGGGAGCAAGGCGCTGGGTGAGTGTGTGTGTTGGGCGGGGAGCTGCTCCAAGCACAGGGATCTGGAGCAGGGCGGACTTGCTAGCTCCAAATTTCCAAGGCAAATTCAACAGCTCGCCCTTGGCCTTCAAGTTGCTGCCCAAGAGGCACCGAGGGCCCGGGTGAGGCCAGAAGTGCCAGACATTCCCTGCGAGCCACGCTCCTGCTAAAGAGCCAAGCCCCGGGCTTCTCTTTCTTGAGCAGCAGCTTTATCAAAATACACCTCACATATCCTACGTTCACCCATCCAAAGGGTCCAATTCACTGGTTTTTAGTATAGTCACAGAGTTGTACAGCTGTCACCATGGTTCATTCTAGAACATTTCCATCACCCCCAAAGGAGACCCCGTCCCCATCAGAGTCACTCCTGCTCCATCATCCCCTTGTGCCAGCCCCTGGCAACTGCTCATCTTCCCGTTGCTGTGGATTTGCCCGTTCTTGATATTTCATGGAAATGGAATCACCCACGATTTGTCTGTTTGTGGCTGGCTTCTTTCTCGCAGCGTGATGATTTCGAGATTCAGGGCTTTGTTCCTTGTAGCTAATGCTCCGCTGCACAGATGGACCACACTTTGTTTATCTGTCCCTGGGCTGATGGACATTTGCGTTGCTTCTGCCTTTTGGCGATCGAGACTAGTGCTGCTGTGAACATGTGTGCGCAGTCTGTTTGAACACCTGCTTTCAGTCCTTCGGGCATAAGCCTAGCGCGGCAATGGCTGGGTCTCCTATGCAAATTCGGAAGGAACCTGAAGGAACCACTTCCTCTTTCTGTGAGGTTATTATAAAGACGATAATGAAGATCTTACTCTCTATCCAAAGCCAGTTAGCATCGTCACGTAAAGCGTAGGACACCCTGTCAAATGTGAATCCTACATAAGGAACAAATACATCTATATTTAGTGTAAGTATATCCCCAATGTTGAACAGGATATACTTACACTAAAAAAAAAAATTTTTTTTTTGTCATGCATCTGAGATTCAAATGTAAATATATTTTTATTTGCTAACTCTGGCAACCCTACACCTAATTCATGTCTTTTCTCTGCTGAGAACATTGTTATTTAGCCCCATGCTTACTTACCATCTCTCTGTTTTTTATGTATATACCCCAAAATGGAGTTGCTGGATCATACGGTAAGTCTATGTTTAGCTTTTCAAGGAGCCACCAGACTGTTTTCCACAGCAGCCGTACCAATTTGCATTTCTACCAACAGTGCACACATTTTTCCACATCCTCACCAAAACTTGTGTATGGTTTATTTATTTATTTAATTTTTTTTTTTTTTTTTTTTTTACTAGCTGCTTCGAGTTTATTTTCCACTTGGTGCGAGGCACACGGATCCAGGGTGTCAGGAAGGCTCATGTGTGGCTTGGATAGTAAAGAGTGGGGTTCTCTCAACTTCTTTTTTGTGTTTTGCTATTTTGATATAAAATAACCCAACTGCTTCTGCTTGCTGCAGCCTTCCTAGTCTAGGGGAAGGGGAGGGGAGGGGTTCTGATGAGCCCAGTGCCTCCTAAAGGCGGGGGGTGGGGGAATGGGGGGTGGTCTCTCAGGATGGGGGCCCCACGTTGGCTTTGCAGGCTGCCCACCACGCTGCTTCCTCATGGCTTCCAGAGCCAAGTCCCAGAGGATCCTGCTGCTGGAAGCTTGGGAAGATGCCAAGCTTTCTGGGGACTCCAACACTGCAGCCGAGTATGGGAGAGTGGACTTCCCAAAAAAGAAGCTTGCCCACCAGTGCCCCGGGTCGGCCTTGGGGAGACTGGGGTGGTGAGGGATGGCTTCCCCAGCATACTCTGCACTTCTGCAGGAGCTGTTACTGGAAGGGGAGCCCAGGCGGCACCAGTAATAGTCGTGGGAGGCCACAAGCGAGCCGCTGGAGGGGATGGCTGCCAGGCTGTTGCTTGCAGGCTGCTGGAAATCTCGGCGATGACCCCTTGCGGGCCTCTGCGCGTGATCACAGGTGGCGGGGACGGGGATGCTAGGCCATGGAGCCCATTTGCAGAGGAAACCACAGAAAGCCGATCAGCTTGCGCAGGAGTGCGCTTGGACAGAGGCCCCGGCTTGGGTGTTAATGGTCTATTTAAAACAGTAAGAAACCATTGTAACAGGTGTGAAGTGATATCTCATTGTGGTTTTAATTTGCATCTCCTTAACGATTAGGGATGAGCATCTTTTCATGCGCTTGTTGGCCATCCGTGTGTCTTCTTTGGAGAAACCTTTATTCAGACCCTTTGCCCATTTTGGAACTGGGTTGTTTGCTTTTTATTGTTGTTGGACTGCAGGCGCTCTTTATATATCCTGGGTATTAATCCTTTATCAGATACGTGATTTGCACATACGTTCTCCCATTCTGTGGGTTGTTTAAAATCCCTTTAAGCCACCCGTTTATGGTAATTTGTTATAGCAGCCGCAGAAGACTCATTCTTCCTCCCATGCCCCTGCCTGGCCCGAAATGCACATGTGATGTGTGCATATGCACACACGTGCACACACACCCCCACCCCGCCCCGCCAACATTTTGGTTGTTGCTAGGGAGGGTGAATGCTCGCTCTTCTCCATGGGCAGCAGGGAGAGTGCTGGGCGGATCTCAGCTTGGATTCTTCCTGATCTGTGAAAGTGTCTTGGAAGGTGCTTTCCTGCTCCATGGAGATCCCCAGCAGCCTTTGCACTTTGCTTCTGAGCAGCTTCTCCCACCCACTCTCCTTGCGCATCTTTTCTAAACACCTGGGAGTCCTGGAGGAGATACTGAGGCTGGGGCATGCAGCAGGTGGTAGGATGAGCGTGCCCTTGCTCTACTGTCTCAACTCCATCTTTGTTCTGGTGGCTGAGGTGCCTCTGGTTCTGGTCGCCCAGATCCACGCTCTTGTAGCCTCCCCGGAAGCCAGGGCTCCAGGGGATCAGGTGGTGCTCTAGGCAGGCACGCCCCGCGAGGCTGAGGCTGCCCTGGGTCAGTGTGGAGTGGAGGCTCTGACCACCCTGGAAGTAGCCGGCCACACACTTGGAGGTAAAGTCCGTGGTTCCCTGGCCCTGGCTTAGAATGATGTGACTACCACAGCAAATACGGCACTTGACCTTTGGAAGGGACCTGAGGTTCACAGGTGGACATGGTGTGGGGAGGTTGTAGCCAGGTTTCCAGATGGGGCCTGGCATGGTAGCTCCTAACAGCTGAGGGAGCCTGCAGATGTTGGCAGGGGTGTGTATGGTAGGGGGTGGCGGGGGGAGGTTGCGTATTCCCATGCAACTCTTGTCAGCCGGGCAGAGTCCATTCATCCAGCTTTGCCCCTGGACAAAATCCTGCATAAGCAACACCACATTCAATCACATCATGCTCAAATCCATCTCTGACATGTCCATCATGTTGGAACAAATTTGTGCTTTCAAAGCAAATGAGAGCGGAATTGATGGGACTCCCCACCAGCACCCCCTGCCAGTTTGAAGCTACCAGCAGGAAGTCACTAAATGTGATGGGGGGAGGGATGAGTAGTATTTTAGTCTCTTCACCATCGGGTATAAGAGTCAGTGATATCCTCAGGAGCACAGAGAATAATAAGATGCAGGGAAACGAGGAAGTGCTCACTTTAGAGTACTTACAACTTTTTTATTTTATTTTTTAAGGTTTTATTTATTTGACAGAGGGAACACAGCAGGGGGAGTGTCAGGGAGAGGGAGAAGCAGACTCCCCTCTGAGCAGGGAGCCCGACGCGGGGCTCGATCCCAGGACCCCGAGATCATGACCTGAGCCGAAGGCAGACGCTTAACTGACTGAGCCACCCAGGCGCCCACAACTTTTATTTTTAATATCATATATTTAATTGCAAGTTTGTACAACGCAACGTTTAGCAATGGCCCTATGAGACAAGGACTCACACGTTTCCTAGAAATGGACCAACTGGCTCTTCCCCAGTGCCCCATGCAGCTCAGGGGGCCAGTGAGGATGTCAGCACATCTGTACTGAGCGCCCACTTGGAGCCAGGGACTGGGTGTGCAGCAGCAAATGGGGCTTGTACCCCAAGGGAGACAGATGGGAAGCAAGTGCTCCTGGGATAATACAATCATGGCCCCTGCGTGGAGCACCAGAGAGTCAAACTGGGTGATGAGGGCATGGTGGTGTCTGGTTGCCTCCTACTCACCCCATTAGTGAAGGAGGGATCCCCAGCACTGAGATGGCCAAACACACAACACCCACCACTGGTCTGGTGAGATGGACAGCAGTTAGTCGCATATACTCACAGCCCTGGGTTGGGGGAGGACCCAGCTGGCCACAAAGACCCGTGGAGGTTGCACTTGGGAGGGGAGTGAACCACCCGAGGCTGCAGGAGGCAGACTTTGTAGTAGTAACAGGAGGGTGAGGTGCCCCTGGTTCCCAGGGGAGGATGCGATTGGCTTGTTGGAAAGACAAGGAGGTGAGATCCGCTAGGCTGAGGATGGGTGGGGTGTAATTGGTCAGGCTGCCAGAGGAACAGGTGGGGGACAGCCTCTTCTGCTAAGTCGGGGGGGCACATATCTGGTGAGAGCAGGGAACTCACAGTTAGGCCTCTGGGAACCTGGAAGGGCAGCCCGTCAAATTCGAGGCCTTACAACCCTGGCAGTCGGGGAAGGAGGGCCAGTGGGGCTAGCTGTGAAGCGTGGGGTGGGGGCAGCCTTGTGACTCCAGGAGGAAGGGACAGCTAGCATCTGGGCCAGAGGGTGTGGTGGTGGTGGGTGGCGGTTCATGGACTCATGGAGGCCAGTGTGGCCAGAGCCCAGAGGGGAAGGGAGCAAAGGGAGGGGCAGGAGGCTGGCTTCGAGGCTGGAGAGCGGGGCCCAGTTTACAGAAGAACAAGGGGAGGTGTGGCGGGCTGGGCAGGACAGACCGGTATTAGGAGGGTTATGCTAGAAGGCCCTGCCTGGTGCGGGAGAGGACTGAGATGAGGGGCCTGCACCTCTTCCTGGTCTCAGCACCCCGCAGCGCCTGCTGCCTCCCCCTTCCACCCAGGCTCCTGCAGGGCCCCTCCCACATCTGCTAAGGCAAGCCCTGTCTGCCCTCGAGTCCCCACAGCTTGCCCAGGGCTTGGCCTAAAGCCACCAGAGGGTTGGTGCGGAGGCCACCTAGAGGACCCAGGGGGCCTGGGAGCAGGGAGGGTTCAAAGGAAACTTCCAAGAGGAGCAGGGGTTGGGCAACCAAAGGAAAAGGGCAGAAGAGCAGGGTTTGAGGGGTCAGCACAAAGCATCTGAGGAACCAGGGTGAGGCTGAGCCATCAGGGCAGCCTCAGGGCTGCCTGGAGTTTGGACTTGGTCCCAATGAACAGGGATTCCCGAAGATTTGGGTCAGGAGGGAAGTGTGGTCAGCACTAGAGTTTTAGGAGGACCCTGGTAGCGGAATGGTCCTCCTAGAGGGGCCAACGGTGCCAGTTGAAGGGCGGGGGTGATGCTGGAAGGAGCGGGGACAGAACTTGGACATGACATAGAAGGGAGGTGCGCCTCCCCTCCCCTGAGGAACCTATGACAAGGGGACTATTGCTCAGTTGGGGACACTCTAAAGGTCCCAACCCTGCTGTATGGCAGAGGGGAAAGGGAGGCCCAGAGAGGGAGGGGCTGGATTCGTGGACAGCGGCAGGGGTGCGGGGAGGGTAGAAGTGAGGACCGGCAGTCAGCGGCCCAGGGGCAGCTGCGCATCTGGAAGGTTCGTCCCTTGGCTAGCCTGTGTCCCCAATCCTGAGGCCACGTGCACTGCACAGGTCGCCGGGCTCTGGCTGGGGTGCGCGCCCTGCGGGGTCGCGGAGTGAAGGCGGCACGGAGATGCAACAGTCACCCGGAGGCCAGGGCGGGGCGAGTCCGCAGAGGGGGCCATGCAGGGGCGACTGGGGAGGAGGCTGGAGAGGAGGCAGGGGAGGACGGGTAGGGGGGCAGCCCCGGAAGGAGGTGGGTCCCAAGATGAAGACCGGTGGAAAGGGGACCGCAGAGGATGGGGCGAGAAGAAAAGGACAGCTTGGGTCCGAGGAAGGGGGAGGGTCCAGGGTGGGGTCAGGCCCGGGCAAGGGGCGGGGCAGTCCGAAGAAAGTCCTTGGAGGGGATGAGTCCCGAGAAGGGAGCTGGGGCGGGTCGGGGTCCGGAAAGGGGGCGGGGCGGGCGGCCCGGCTGGGAGGTTGCGGGGAGCAGTGCAGGGAGGGGGCGACGGGAATAGGGGCCCAGTCGGGTCGGAGGAGCGGGGAGGGCGTGGGCAGGGTCTGGGGGGTGATCCGCCCAGAGGTCCGGGCAGGGGGGCGGGGCGGGCCCGGGAGGGGGTGGGGGAGAGTGCGCGGAGGGGATGAGTCCCGGGAAAGGCGCGGGGCGGGGCCGGGCGGGGGCGGGGGCGGGCCGGGGGACGAGGCGGGTCCGGGGAGGGGGCTGGTCCGGGGCTGCCCCAGCTTGGCCGGCCGCGGAGCGGGGCGCATGGCGCCGTGCGCACGGCGCGGGGGCTGCGAACAAAGGGCCCCCGGCGGCGCAGGGGGCACCGCCGCGCTCGGACCCCGACCCTGGCCCAGCCCCGGCCCGGCCCCCTCCCTGGGCGCCGCGCCCCCGCGGAGCCGAAAAATGTGGGGCGCCCTGCTCTGCCCGCTGCTGTGGCGCCTGCTGCTGCTGCTGTCGCCGCGGGACGGCGTGTGCGCCGCGCCCCAGGCCCCGTGAGTTGCACCGGGCGACGGAGGAGGTTGGCCGTCTTCTCGGGGAGGGGGCCCCGGGGACCGGCTCAGAGAGCTGCAGCGACCTCTCCGAGGCTACACAGCGTCCGCACTGGGCGGGACCTAGACTCCTGGCCCCTGACTCCCAGGGGTCGGACTGGGAAGGGGGCACCCCCAGCCTTCAGAGGTGGCCACACGGAGGTACAGGGAGTCAGGGCCTCCTCCCCACCTCATCCCCTTGGTGTGACGGGGGCTGTCGTCTTGGGTGGCGATTTCAAGTTGTCCGTGGCACGGAGGTAAGAGGTGCGTGTCTTGGCGGGGAAATAGGAGAGACCTACCGTTCCGTTTTCCTTGGGAGGGAGTGGTGGCGGGGAGGAAGTGTTTGTTTTGCTTCCACATTTTTCTTGAAGTTTGACTACAGAGCTTCTGGTGAGTTGACACAGTGAGGAGGTGAATTAACTAGCCGCTAAGGAGAATTTCCCATGAGTTGGCTTCACCGGGAATATTTCCAGACCTGCCAAGTTGGGGTGAGCCCTGCAAAGCTGTGGGTTCAGGGGGGCCGCCTGGAGCTGCCCAGGCTCAGCCGTGTAGTCCAGCCTCAGCCTTGATGAGGTGGCTTGTTCATGCGGCGCTTGCTTAGGAGTTCCCAGAAAACAGGTCAACCGTGGGACGAGGTGGGTGGTGTCGCTTTAGGATCATAGTTGGAAAAGTCAGACACCACACTGCGCTTTGAGCAATGGGATTTACCTCCCCTGGGCCTTGTGAAATTGGAATCCAGCAAATTTTTGTCCTGATCTTTCAAAGCAGGCATCTCTTAAAATACAGGTTTTCAGCCCCAGGGAGGGGGGGTGATTTTTGTTTTCCTGGGGTCATTGGGCAATTCTAGGGGCATTTTTGGTCCACATCTAGGGGGAGGCAATGCTGCTGGAATCTACTGAGTGGAGGCCAGGGATGCTTCGAAACATTTGGCCATGTGCAGGTCCACCCCCGCCACAAAGCTTGACTGGGCCCTAAATTACAGACCTCGCCTCATAAAGACCAAGTTCAGAGTCTCTGGGTTGCAGAGTTTCAAACGGTTCTCAGGAGTTTTTGCCTCTGACTAAAGTTGTCCTGGGATGTTACCTTCTGTCAAGGGAAATGGAATCCTGTGCTGCAAAGTGCAAAATTACTGACCTGGGGTTCTAGATTAGTCAGCCTCTAAGCCACAGCTGTGGTCCACCCACTAGAGGGATTCCGATTTAGGAATTGCCCTGGATACCCAGTTCTGTGACCCGTGTGATTTTTTAAAAAAAAAGATTTTATTTATTTATTTGAGAGAGAGAGAGAGAGAGAGAGAGAGCACCAGCGGGGGGAGGGGCAGAGGGAGAGGGAGAAGCAGGCTCCCAGCTGAGCAGACGCTTAACTGACTAAGCCACCCAGGCGCCCCAACCCATGCGATTTTTGCATGAGGAATCCCTGACCCCAGAAACCAGCACAGATTTGCACGTTGTCATAAGACCAGTACTGTCTAGG